ATTTAAAAATATTTAGTTCAAGTCACGGAATTGTTCTCAGTAGAGACCCTAATGCAATGCATAATTAGCTGCCTTAGATGGCCTGTCTGAAAGGACATTCTCCCTTCAGAGTGTAACTGTACTGATTTTGGCACAGAAAAGAAGTCAAGAACATGATTAAAAAAGAGGGAAGAGGAACAGAGGAAAGGAATAAAAACAAGAGTAAATGAGATAGTAATTGCAATCCCTAAAAAACTGTGCATTCTCAGTCACTGCAGAACACTGTCTTCTCGCTACGGCAGGTGCTTACTCCAGAGCTGTTATTGCAGCATGGATTTGATCTGCTTGGAGGTAGTCTCGTCATTCAAATGTTTTGTCGTGTACCTGAGAGCATTTGGAAGACCTTCTCCGCTATTAGGAGGCTGGTCCTTAAGAACTTTGATACAACCTTTCATATCAATCTTGGATGTTTTGGCAAATGCTCCCACTGGATGTACGTGGTCGTACAGGATTATGACTCCCACCATTACCCGCAAGCAGAATGACACTGTCTCTTCATTGGTAAATCTGCTTCTGTACTCCGGCGTTTCCAGCATGACTCTGCATACACTAGCCATGGTGCTTAAACAGTCAGTGGTATTTTCTATTGGTAAATTTTTATTCTCGGATACAAACTTTGTTGTAGCGTCACTTAAGGTTTTCAGCATCGGGGTTGCCTCAGCGTAAAATAAAGACATTCGATTTGCCAATTCATTATTCACTTCATTTTCTCCTTCTGCTGGCACATTATTAATCCTCATTCGACTCAACGTTCTTCTTCAGTAGCTGAAATCATTCTGTATGGCAGGATTTGTCATCTTGAGTTCATCAAAGCGGAGGGTGAAGTGAAGAATTTCTGCGAACTGTTTAGCAAGAGCCTGCTCTCGCTCTAGATGCTGGGTGGGTGAATATGGGGTACTGGTCAAGGCTCCCAGAAGGCCTCTTAATGCAGCTTCTAACCTCTGAGAAAACGCATAAAATTTCTTTAGCTTGCCTACTAATGGAACAACTGCACCCCAGGCCTTCTCTTGCAACTTTTCATCTGCTGGATGTTGGATTGCCTCTCGTATTTCATGGCCAGCTCCTCTGTAGGACTGTAAATCCTCCAAGATGCCTTCAGCATCTTTCAATACTACATTCACCTGGTTATAAATTTCCTTCTCAGACTCTGTAGGCTGGGCATCTTCAGCCAGTGCTGGTGATTCTGTCCTTGTCCTTCTATCCTTGTTAAAAAGCAGATGAAGAAAACGAATCTCAGAAATTACTCAGCTGGGTGTGGTGGTGCAGGCCTCTAATCACAGCTACTTAGAAGGCTGAGGCAGCAGAATCAGAAGTTCAAGATCAACTTGTGCAACTTATGGAGAGCCCTCCCTCGAGGCTCCGGGCGCTCGGGGCCGCTCCTCCGCCCTCCTCGAGCCGCGACGGCAGCTCCTCAGCGGCGCTAGGGGGAGCCCCGGGCCGGAGCGGGGAAACGGCGGCGGCCGGACCGGCAGGCCTTCCGCACCTGCCCCTGTGGCGGAGCCGCGACGAGCCCGGCGGCGGCGGCGGCGGCGGCAGGGACGGCGGCAGCGGTGGCAGCAACAGCGGCTCCGAGCGGGGAGGGCAAGTGACCGGTCCTTCATTTATATCCCCTTTTTTGCTTACTTTTGTCAGAAATGGGTATTGCATTGCCATTCAAATATTTTAGGTGCATGAATTCCGCAAAGCAATTCCATATAGTCCAATAGTCTATAATAGTAGTGGGTTAATAGCAGGACTGGTAATGTCAGAAGTTGACTTGAGCATTTTACAGCTCAGCATATTAATATGGCTTTACTTTTTATACCTTATCTTTATACTTTTCTGCTGGATGGTTAAGACCAAGATAAAGCAAGACCTATATAACAAAAAATGTAACTTTTGTATCTGACATGGCCAGTCAAGTACCCTCCGGATTTACCCTGAAACCCTGTACCGTAGTTTATAGATCCTTTGTCAGTGTCAGCCATGTGGATGAGTCACTGCCATTGCTTGACAGATTTACCCTCTGTGAAAGCCTGAGAGAATGTTTTCTCTCCATGTAACTCTCCTTAGGCACACTCTACATCATCAATTACTCTCCTCTGTAGCCCCATAATCGCCTTGATCAGAAAATTTGGGATACCACTGAGACACAGGATGTTACAATACACGTTCTCTTATGTCCTGAGTCCTCACTGACCTTGAAGGGCTAGGGCCAAAATGTTGGCTATCCTTGTAGCCCTTCTTTTTCTCTAATTTTTGGGTTGTCACTTAATTTGGTGAACATATGTTTATATACATTTTATAAGTCAGGAATCTGAGGATCACATGAAGCATTTTCCCCTGGTCATACAGTGGATATGTAGCATATTGCACAACTAAATCCAGGTATTCTAACTCCAACTTTAATTCCACTTTTCTACAGCTGATGCTGAAGATATTCTACCCTAAACTCATCAACACACTTATTATTTCATTTCTGTCTCTTAAAATTTGCTTTTTTTTTTTTTTTTTTTTGACCTGCTTCCCAAAGTCATGTTCTTTTATGTTTACACACTGGTAGAAAAATATGAAGATTAGTGAGCTCATTCATTATAGCTGGTGTTTGCATTTTCCTAAGAGACAGCAGCAGACAGAAAGTTCTCACCCACTGGAAAGACCTTCTCTTGTTTGAATATGAGCTACTGAGGTAGAGCTACTGATAAAGGAGATACACATTTGCACAGGATACCTTCAGGGTATTCTTAAAATAATATGACAGATAAACCCAGGCTATGCAGTGATGTCATAGTGGGACATTCCTGTGCAGTACATTCATACATTTATGTTAGTAGTAAATACGTCACAATAGATTATATTAACAACAGAGCAAAGTCTTCTGTACCTAAAATGGATCTGGGATATTTTTTGACTCTAAATTTCTTCTCCTCATCAGAAGAGGATGGAGAAGCTTTGTGTTATGACCAAGAAAAATCTCATACATGGAAGATAATCAGAGAGAAATGATATGGAAATGTCATTAAGCAATGTAACAAGCCTTTCTTGTGGTGTTTTCCTATTTGGCATATTTAAAATGTGAGACTAAAAATTATGTATAGAAATTACAGTGATTTCCTCATTAAATTGAATGGCAAGACACAATTACTACCAAAAATTGAAACTAAGGTAAGGCATGACTTTGGCAAAAACAATAACTTCTTAAATTTCCTGCCTAATAATGTTAACTATATTTCGCTCTTTTCTACTGGCTTAAGAAAATATGAGTTAACTTTTGTCCTATCTTGAATCAATCATTGTGACCAGTGGGAATTTGATATCAATCCTGAGATCATTTTTGATCCTGAATATTGAGCACGGTGTCACCCTGAACAGAAATAGAGGGGCTAAGGAAAGGGAGATGGTGGTTCTCCTAGGAAATGCTGGATGTATTAAAAGAAAAAAATAAATTAGACTGGCTACCCAATGCCAGCAGGAACTGCCAGTCCCAGCCCAGGCACAGCATGGGTGAGACCCTCTTTTATCCTCTTGGGACCCCCCCACCACCACACTGCAGCACCCTTCCCACCCTTCCCGCCCAGAGAGAATTTCTTCTGTGTTCTGGAGACCCCCAGATCCAGTCTTAGCCCAGGCCCGGTGAGTGTGTGAGAGAGCTGCCTCTCCCCCACTACTCCATCTTGTACTCTCCAGACTCAGCACAGGCCTGGCCTACAGGCCTGAGGTGAAATCCTGCAGCTGCAATCCCTGCAGAGAGAGTCACGGATACAACTACCCAGCTAGTCCAGGAACAGAACATCTTGCCAGAGGGGCACAACAGGCTCACCCACAAAGGCACCAGCAGGAAGGAGCTGAGCACAGGAACCAGACCCACGTCAAGCACAGCTGGATAGATCCGAACTTTGTAGTTCTGCACCTGAACTTCAGTAGGTGCTAAGGTTACAAATGCACCAAAGCTCTACAATAAAGGTCAGGAGACAGTGCTACACAAAATGCCAACGAGAAGGAACAAAATGCAATCTCCAAACCCAAGCCCACCCATAACAAGTGAAAAGGACACTAACACAGAACAAAGTGGGAATCACACAGCTGAAATCAGTGAATCAATGGCTTCTGAAATAAAGAAACAGCTGCAGAAAGGTATAGAGGAACTCAGATTGGAAATGAAAAAAGAAATCCCTAAATAAATAACATCTGCAGCAAAGAATCAAATGCAGAAACATATGGAGGAAACCCAATGCCCAACCAGAACAAGGGCAGAGGACACTAGCTCAGCTCAAATGTATGAATTAATAGCATGGATAGTAAATAAGCAACAGCAGAAAGTCATAGAGGAACTCAGAGCAGAATTCTTTTCTACTGGCTCAGCTCAAATGTATAAATTAATAGCATCGATAGTAAATAAGCAACAGCAGAAAGTTATAGAGGAATTCAGAATGGTATTATTTTCTGAAATAAGAAAAGAATTCTTGGAACTCATAGCATCTGAAGTAAAGAATCAACTACAGAAACATAGGGAGGAAACCCAATGTGAAAAAAACACTGCAGTAAAACAATTAGTAACTGCTTCTGAAGAAGACATTGACAAAAAAAAATAGAAGAGATCAGAAAAATGACAGATTCCTTGAATGAGCAATACAGGAAAGAAATAGATCGCATGAAGCAGAGTCAAAGAGATAAAGAAGAATATAAAATCTCAATCACAAGCTTGCAAAACCATTTGAGTGAAAGTGAAGACAGAGTTTCAGATCTTGAAGATGCTTGTGCAGCTAGTGAAAAGGTAAGAAAGGATCTCTTAAAAACAACGAGGATGCAGGAAAAAATAATCCACACCTGCAAGATGATGCAAAGATGAACAATGTGAGACAAATAGGCATCAATGAGAAAGGAGGAGTCAATACAAATGACATTAAAAAGATATGGGCAGAACTAACAGCAGAAAACTTCCTAAATAGGAGGAAACAATCTGACATTCAGGTAACCGAAGTATACAGAACACCAAGTAACCTCAAACCAATGAAAAACACATTGAGACATACAATAGTCAAGATCCCAGAAATACAGCACAAGAATAATATACGGAAAGCCGCTATAGAAAAGAAGCAGATCACATTCAAAGGAAAACCCATCAGAATTATG